TGTCCCCACCCCCACCGCCTTGCCCCACCCTGCATGCCCCCCAACAACCCCCACCTATGGAGCAGGGGTGGGGCAGGAGTGGTGGGGCGGGGTTGGGTATGGGTGTGGCGGGACAGGGTGATAGCTGTGAAACGGCAATAATGACATGGTGGTTGGTAGGTTGTGGGCAGGTGATGGGTGGGAAGTCCAAACAAAGACGATTGTTCCAATTCTTTTGAGAGATTTTATTATGATTCCTACCAACCAAACGCGTGGTCAAATTTCATTCAAATTCTTTCAAAGTCAAACTCCTTTCATGAATTCCAATTCTATTATGTGAACCAAATAGCCCTTTGGTATAATGTTGTATGCATATAAATCATATGTTAAATCAAATATTGTAGTTTTTATACAAACAAGACAATATATAGATAGTGGACCGATCATGTGTGTGTGTGCGCGTACGCACGCATGTGTTTGTATATAATTTTAATGACCCTTTTATCTATTTAATCAATTAATTCTTTTTTGTTAAATAATTCAGCAAGATCCTAATCACACTTCGAGGGTTGATTTAGGATCATCTACAAGATGCATGCCCACGAAATCACCTCCTCCTTCAATCGCCGATGATCAAAGAACCATCAATCGTCGTAAGTTGTCAAATTTTGCAATGGATTCTCTCGTTTCATCATTTAATTACAATACGCAACAACAATACAATGTAATCTTTATCTTCATTGTTTCATGTCTTGTTTAACTTTTCTTAGCTCCAGAAAAAAGGCAACGCGTTCCATCCGCATATAACCAATTCATCAAGTAACAAGACTTGTTCCCTCTCAATTAATTTTATAAATAATTTGCAACATAAATTATTTATTCATCTTTTAATTACTTAATTAGACAGGAGATTCAAAGGATTAAGGCTAATAATCCAAATATAAGTCATAGGGAAGCATTCAGTGCTGCTGCAAAAAATGTAAGTATCCATCTTAATTTTTATTAGGGTTTTAGAATAAATCATATTAAAATCAAACATACTTTATTTCATTTCATATATATTTTGGAAAACATACTTACTCGATAAGTGCTTACCGGTAAAATTTAACACTATTATTTACTTACCGGGTAAGATTTTGGTCCACCAAAACGACATTGTACGCAACAATTTACCCGGTAAGCGCTTACCATGGTAAGAGTCGTTGCTATCGCTTACCGGGTAAGACTTTTGGTCTTTTTCTTGCTCTTATGAAATAAGATTCTTAGTCCTTACCATATCCAACGGAATGAGATAATGTGATTTGGTAAACACTTATTTAGATAAGCGTTCAGTAAACAGCCCCTAAAAACAAAATACATTGTATTTTAGTGCATGCATCTTCTTGGGATTTTTAATTTTGCTTATTGAATAAAATAGTTTGAGTGTGATATTGGTACAGTGGGCACATTTTCCTCACATTCATTTTGGGTTGATGTTGGAGGGAAACAATCATCAAACAAAATCCAATGAGGTCAGTTCATCCATCAATATATATTAATTGTTCTGGTTTTTTAGGGCGTTTTTAAAATAAAAGTGTTTTATTAGCTATTTTATATGACATTTTTGAGAATTGTTTTATAAACCCATTTTTTATATGATAGTTGTGTTTATATAACAATTTTCAAAAGGTGTCGTATGAAATAGTTAACACGATATATTATTTTAAAAACGTTCTAAAAACTTGTTAAAACGCCTAAAAATGTTCTATAAATTTGTTGCTAACACTTTTAGATACGATGTTTTCTGGTTTAGTCCAATAAACTTAAGTCACATAAAGTATTTTATTTAAGACGCTTCTATATTTTAGACGTTATATAAAGTCAATTTCGTTGTAGTGTATCACTTATCAAATTAATACATTTTTAAATATTAATTTTTACTGATATTGTTGTTTATTAATTGTTATTATATTATTAACTTTATAAATATTTTTTTTATTATCTTTTCATTTATTTTTATTAAATTAAAAACTCAAAATCGAACTATTTGTTTTTAACATTCACTTAAATATTTTATCTGGTACAATCAGAAAAATTAATACAACTTTTAAATTTATAGAATCCACATTATACACCTTTTATATATATATATATATATATATATATATATATATATATATATGTGTGTGTGTGTTGCTATAAATTGTTAGGATGAAATTAAGCGGAATAATGAATTATATCCTTATAAAATAGTAAGTTGTTGATTAGGTCTAAGTTGTAACTTAGAGGCTGTTTACCAAACATTTACCCGGTAAGCATTTACCGGTAAAACTCAATACTATTATTTACTTACCGGGTAAAATTTTAGTCAACAAAACGGCTTTCTATGCAACAATTTACCTGGTAATTAAGAGTTGAACGTGGTAAGAGTCATTGCCCTTACTTACCGGGTAAGACTCTCAGTCTTTGCCTCGTTCTTACCGGGTTAGATTTTTGGTCCTTACCATATTCATCCGGTAAGGTAATATAACTTGGTAAACACTTACCCAAGTAAGTATTTGGTAAACGACCCCTTAGTAGAACTCGACAATAAATCTTTCTAGCATTTTGTTGTACATTTCTTCAAAATTATTTTAAAAAAGCGCCGTATACAGGATTCATGAAACTCTTTTCAATATTTTTCGATATAAACTTATAAAAAGATGACTTCTTTCTTGAATCATATATATTATATTTTTCAACTCGTCCTAACTCCTTATAAATTGTTCCATGAGTATAGAACCTGTTAAATAGTCTAAAATCGTCCTAATTGATTATAATTTTTTTTATAATCTCTTTTGACTAAATGCAGCTGAGCTATGTCCAAGGATCTAAGAAGCGATTAAAGTCAACAGCAGAGTAATTTAATGAATAACTGATATTTATATTTCGAAAATATTTTTTGTTTTATTTTTTCGATTCTATCATGTCATTCTCGTATTTTAAATTTTATCAAATGTAACTGATAGTACTCTGGTTTGCTATATGAAATTATTTGTTTCGGCCATAGAGGTTTATATCCACATCACTCCATGTCATTCGTGATCAACTGGTTGTTGAAGCGTTTAAAATCTAAGTTTATAGGACGATAAAGGTGTTTTATTTAAAAACGTTTACAATGGGTTTTTAGTATGTTTTTAGGCGTTTTAACAAAAAAAAGTTAGAAGGATTTTAGAATAAAGTGCTCTATTAGTTATTTTTATAAGACAGATTTGAGAAATGTTCTAGAAATCATCTTTTTATAGGACATCTGTGTTAATATTTTTTTTTGAAGTATATAATATTTATATACGGCAAATTTCAACAAATAAACTCACACACCCTCCTCACCTATGGTGAGGTTTGAACCCCTGATCTCCTAGAAGGCCGAGGACTACGATACCGCTAGGCCAAAAGCCCTTTGGTATATGTGTTAATATATGGTGTCATATAAAATAGTTAATACAACACTTTATTTTTAAAACATCATAAAAACTTGTTAAAACGCCTAAAAATCGTTTTTTTAGTTTGGTCTTGTACACTTAAGTGTATAAAGTATTTTTGTAACACTCCCAAACACCACATTTGCATGTAACTCATATTTCATTACATAGAAATATAATTTATATCACAAGGTCCCACTAGTACAAAGATTATTATATGTACAAAATCTACATATGAAAAATTCCAAAACAAATCATGTACTAACACATGTAATACAACATGTATATTCAAAATAAACAATCTTAAGCAGATCTTCAAAAGCAGATAACAGGTTAGGAAAATAATCACATTTTCCCTTTCCCCTTATTATCTTTGGGCTCCGCCATTCCTGCATTGCATAAGTTTAAAACAAAAAATGAAGGTTAGACCACAAGGGTCTAGTGAGTAAATCCCTTCTTTGCAAATGCAGGGTGATAAATACTAAAATATAATAAAATATCTTTGCTCAGAAATATTTGCAATACAATCAAATAATGCAGTCCTCAATGATATGTATAATAGGATAAACTCAACGGTTATCACAATTTTATTAGAAAGCTTAGACATTTTAGGCGTCTTATAAAACCAATTTTGTTGTTATGTTACTTTGACATGTAACATGCCCGATCTTGTAAAACTTGATTACTTGAATACCCGTTTACGAGACGGCTACGTCGAATAGGATGATAAACTTACGTCCATATTAGCAAATAATACTAGATCGGCACGTTATGGTCAAAAATGATATAGTAATAGAAAATTTTGAAACTTTATTATTAATATTTTATTTTTAGATTTTAGTATATAACCTAATTATATATGGTTTTATGCCAGAGTAATATTTGAAAACACGTGTGTAAAAATACATATGTAACTACATATGGGGGATTATTTTTAAAAGAGAACTCGATTATTTGTGATGACCGTGAGATCCAATCTCAACCACATATTACTAATAATCAATGGTCATTAACAAAAATATTAATTTTGATAATTATCCATTAATTTTTAAAAAATTTAAATTTATAGATAATAATTAGGGGTGAAGTAGTCTTTTTGAATATCTTTCTTCTCTCTCCTCGCTTCGGCGAACCTTACTCCGACGAACATCATGTGAACATAAGATACACAATGTGATACCTAAAAAAACATTGACATTGTTTAAGAAAATACATACAAACTATACACAATGTGATACCCAATATATATATATATATATATATATATAGAGAGAGAGAGAGAGAGAGAAAGAGAGGTTGGTTCAAATACTAACCCATTTTTTTGTGTTAACTATGCTAACCAACATCAATCTTGGTTAGTATTTGAACCAGCCCATATATATATATATATATATATATATATATATATATATATATAGGGTTGGGTTCACGTGAGACCAGGCTGTTTTCGTGAGACCCGTGAGACCACATTTTTACACTTGAAACTTCACAGCAAAAACACTGTGAAGGTTTGTGAAGGTTTAAAAAAGTCGAACCTTCATAGCAAAAACACTGTAAAGGTTACCTTCACAGCATTTTGCTGTGAAGTTTCAAGTGTAAAATGTTGGTCTCACGGGTCTCACGAAAACAGRTTGGTCTCACATGATCCCAAGTCTATATATATATATATATATAATATATATATATATATATATATATATACAAGATGCACACTGTAATACCCCAAGATACACAAAGTTAAAAGAAGTTATACACAAGAAACAGACTGTGATACACGATGTATGACATTATGCAAAATAATGTATCGCTATGGGGAAACTCTAAAACGGTGAGAGTTATGAAGTAGAAAAGATAGCAGCCACCGATTGATCTTCTCTCTTAGAAAGTCTGAGACGGTGATGAGGGAAGTATAAAGTAGAAACTCCTAAGCCATGACTTTACCGATTATTAAATAAAATCAATAAAATTAAATTATTTGTTCACATTGGATTTTACAGTTATCACAAGCAACCGAGTTCTCATTTGATTAGGCTCCACTAATATGATATATAGACTTGTAGTCATAAGTGATGTATTGAAAAACCTAATGGGCTTGTCGTGACTCCTAATGCTTGAGGCTTAAACTCATCGCTACGCCACATCACATGTCATTTAGAGCCTTGCTCTTATCTAATCTCTATCTAAGGTGCCGTTTACCAAACGCTTACCCGGGTAAGAGCTTACCAAGTCACTTTACTTTACCGGATGAAATGACAAAAATTAAGAATCTTACGGTTAAGAGCAAAGACAATAATCGAAAGTCTTACTCTGTAAGTGAGGATGAGGACTCTTACCACGGTTAGCGCTTACCGGAATAAATTATTGCACACGATGCATTTTAATGAATAAAATCTTACCCGATAAATAAACGATAATGTTAAATTTTACCGATAAGTACTTACCGGATAAGATTTCTTTTATTTTATGGATATTAGATAACATTTTAAATATTTAAAAAAATATTTAAATATTTAAAAAAGCATTTAAATATTAGGACATTTTCGTATTTGTTGCCGAGTAAATAAATTTTACCTTTTTACATGAATCTTTGTCTTTGAGTGAAAAACATCCCATCATTTGACTTGTCTTTAGTGGTGTGGCAGACCCTTTTATAGATTTTGTAATATATGTTTGGGTGATTTTAATTCAAGTGCTCTTATGTGTTATTTGAATTTATATATATATATATATATATATATAGACACATACATACATATAGAAAAGGGTTCAAACGAGAATACTTTTATTTTACGAGAACACAAAACCATTCTTTTACTATAGACAATCACATGTAATACTATTATTTTATCACATGTGATATTAAATTAGAGATGCTTGTGATTTTCGATGCGATCTTGCTTGCGGGTCAAGTCGTCCTTACACCATTAAGCCCCCCCCTCTCATAAGTATTATCACATGTGATAATTTTGTTGTTGATATGATACTATAATCCATCAAGACCATCACATGTGATGCTAAATCATAGACGCAGACAACCTTCAATGCGACCTAAGTCGTAGAACACATCGTCCGTACATCACATGGTCCCCTCACGCGTATTATCATATGTGATAATACGTGTTCTCGTGTTCTCATAAAATAGAGGTGTTCTCGTTTGAACCTCCACCTATATGAATTTATAAATTCATTCTTTCATACACAAAGTTAATATATTTTTTTCTATTTTCAAAGATTTCAAAAACATTGTTACAACAATATCTTACTGTGTTACTTACTTTGAAAGAGTAACTCCGGGAGAGACAAAGGATAACATTTTGGGGGGAAATCTCGGTTGTCAGATCAAATGGAGGTCTGAGAACTGGACGAGGAAATTTCATACGTTCATAATTCATAAGTAAAAACTAGTTGTGTACCCGCGCAATGCGGCGGGAGCCATGAATTTTAACGATTCTGAAGTTCCACTGGTTTTATAAGATAAGATTTAACGATGATATAGATTACACTTGGTCTTTACATATTAATACAATTTGAATAAATAAGAGTTATGGTTCCAATTACAGACTATCGATGAAAAAAATTGTATGACGGTTTAAATAAAAACTATGAATAAGTGGTTGCCTTGTAGAGGGATCTTTTTTCAAGAAATATGATTTGATTGATGAATGGACATAATAACCCCACAAACATGTCATTTACACCGAACTGCAAAAACACTTCATATGTTCCATCTTGTGGTCATTTCGTGTCTGCATTTTATTCGTATACGTTGTTTAGGCGTTGTTACAATCTCGTTGCTAAAAAAAATTTACATAACGAAATAAAAAAAGACTTAAATTGAGAGTGTTTTGTTGGGTTTTTGGATATCTTCAGTTTTTGAAAAAATATCGGGTTTCGATTTGATTAAGTTTAAAATATGGTTATAGCAATCAACATCAATATTAATAAATGGCAAAATGTACAAGATAGCAACTTGTTTTCTTAATATAGCATTGTACTTTCAGTTTTTTTTATTATAGCAATGTACTTTTAAATTATTTTTTGTTAGGGCATCGTACTTTGAAAAATTTACGTATTATAAATTGGATAACCTTTTAAATTTACTCATTATACCAGGTTTTCATACCACATTAATGTCCATGTAGTTGTCCACATGTACTATTGCCGATATGACATTTCTTATTACAACATTGTACTTTTAAAATTATTTTATCATAACATTTATCAGTTCTGTACTTTTAATTTTAATATTTTTATTATTTAAAATTTTTATATATTATTTAATAAATATATTAAATAAATTAAAAAATTTCTAAATATTCATTAACATATCAATATTAATAAAACTAGTAGAACAGAATTTATCACGCTAACATTTTTAAAGAATATGTTCTTTTTGAAAAATGAAAATAAGAATTGTTACTTTTTTAACCAAAAAATATTTGAATATGTCATACTTGTTTAAAAAAATTTACTTGGAATATAAATATATTAAACTAATTATATTTTTTGAATTATTCATTAATATAAAAATATCAAAAAAAAAAATTGTAGACCACAATTTATCTCGCTAACATCTTTAAAAAAA